TACATATAGGTATTACTCGAATTTTATCACTGTTTCTATTAAGAAGCAGCTTCAAAGTAAGAATTAAAAGCTTATTGAAAAAGGTATTCAGTCACATGAAAATCTACGTGACTGAAAACTCAGCAATCAGCATAAATTCCAATTGTTAAACAACCTTTCTGTTTCTGAGATTTTGGAATCAGGAAAATTGTTTAGAACTAGCAGTAAAACTATTAAATAATTAGAACAGTGAGTTAATAATAAATTGTACATACACATATAATTTAAGCAACTTCCTATGTCCCTATGGGAAATCAAAAACAAACACATGTGTGTAAGTATAAGCTTTCTTTAATATAGAAACCTCGAGCCGAAATATTAATGTATATATGTATATATATATTTCAATAATAATTATAATTAAAAATTTGTATTGTATGAGTGTACGTCTACTTATAATATTAATAAATTGATTGTTGCTTTTCACCACATAATATATTATGCATTATAGATTCGTTATGTTTTTGTGATGTAAGTATATATGTATGTATGTATGTATATGAATACATGTGGAGTTTATTGAACTCTTTAGGTTTCTGTAATACTCACTTTTTCTTTTATACATTACTTATACTTCATTTTTTTTATTTTATTTTTAATTTTTTCTTTTTTTTGCTTTTTCGTCTTCTTATTTAACTTTACCACATTATAAAGAAAAAGAAAATAAGTGATAACACCGGTTAGAGAATGGCGAATTCGCGTATTTATTCGAAATAAATGATTTTTTGATATATGTATATATGTATATATATATACATATATATATATATACATATAATAATAATATATAATAATAATAATATAATTATAATGCGAGGCATACATACATAGATGTGTGCAAAATATTTATAAATATGTAGATAAGTTTGAACATAAAAAAAGAAAACAATATTTTAAATCGGTATGTTAAACGAAATTTGCAGATTTTTTTTCTCTTTTTTTTTTTTTAATTGAGAAATAAGTAGAAAAAGGGAAAAAGTAGATTTCAATAGAAAAAATAATAAAATCAACTTTTATGAAATATGTGAAATTTGCAACACTTTTCTTATTTTCTTTTGCAAAATTTTGCAAGTTTTCTCAATGATTGTTGAATTTACAAGAAATACTAGATATATATGTATATACATATATACATGTATTTTTATTAAACAACTATAGGCATTTACAAATAATATTTTTATTTAAAGTATTTAATAAAATGGAATGGTGGTCAATATTATCTTTTTTTTTTTATTTTTGTTTATTTTTTTATTTTGAACCTAAAATGCTTACGCAAAACGAGAAACATATACATACATACATATTTAAAACATCATACATCTATAAGTATAACATATTCAATATTAATTACGTACCTACACAGTTTCGCCGAAAACTCTTAAATGTTTAGGGAAAAATTTTTGCAATAATTCACAATCGGATTATTTATTTAATGGTGAATGAAAATTTTTTGCTCAGGTACGTATTCCAGTTATATGATCTTAAACATAATTGGTGTACTATTTTGAGAATTTTTGGAAAACAAAATTTCAAAAATGAATTAAATCTTAGACATTGGCATCTACTATTAGTACATCTTCAACAATTGAAGTCCACAATTCTTTCCTGGCTAGAAGAAAAAAAGAATTTGTCACTATAAACGGCCAAATATTTGTACCTAGACTCATGCCTAAAATTTTGATTGTGTAATCCATACGCTGTTCAATAATAAACTAATGATAATAATAGTTGTAATTTTTATTATTTGAGAGAAATCAAAAGACAAACTAATTGTGTTCATAAAACCTCTTAAGATTAAATCAAAAATTTTTAAGTTATAAAAATGCATTTTACACTCAAAATCACACGCAATAAAGAAGAAGTGTTTAGAATTTTTTTTTATCAGGCTGAAAATTGTGATTCTTAAAATACAATAAGAAAATATTTAACTGGAGGCGTTTTTTGGAGGAAAAAAAAATACTAGGTTTTGTTGTTCAAGGAAATAAAAAAAAATGTCCAACTTAGGAACACTATTCAAAGAGGGCCAATTTTAAAATTTAACAATTTTGAATTGACCAATTTTAAACTAAAATCAATTAACCCGAACCGTTAATTTAATACTGTTCCTACGTTAAAAAACTAGTAAGGTATGTAATTTTAAGTATGCGGCAATTTTTTCGAATCTCTAAAATAATTATTGTAAGTTTTTTTTTTTAATATAAAATTTCACTTTCGGTACTAACATAAGAATATTATTAGTTAAAATTACAATTTTAATAATGATGAAGTAATACTTATAGATTTTGATTTAAAATAGTTTTACCGAAAAATTTATTTCATATATATTTTTTAATTTAATCAGGCACTTTCTTAAAAAAAATTTACTTAAAAATTTCTGTATAACAAACGTTACATGTTAACATCTGTAATAACATAAATTGTACCTATATGCATACATATACATATACATACCTCTTTTGAAAAAATGTATTTCGTTTTAACTCCCGCCTCCTAATATCGATGATTAGAAGTATTGAAAATATCTTTCTATTTAATCATTAATTTCATAATTATTGTGATTTTAACTTGAGTTTCACTAAGGTATACAAATGTGCATAAGTACATACATATGTATATGTATGTAAAGTAACAGTACAGGAAACTAACTAAAATGTTCAATTTTTCTTTCTATTTCTTTAAATTTGTTAAGATTTTGCTACTGGAATTTCTATAAGAATAAAATATCCTTTTTCTCATATCGTACATCTACGTTAACCGAACCATATGTACCTGACAAAGAAAAAAAAAAACGTCACTTTCTGACATTTTTACAAAATCGATAAAAATTTTTTTCAACAAAGTAGTTTTTAATAAGAACACATTGTAAAATTTTATAATTTTCGATAGTTAAAAAATTGTTAATTATAAATATGTAAGTGAAATAAATCTTAAAATATATTTCAATTTAATTTAAATTGATTTTATATTATAATGTTAAAAATAATCTAAGATAACCTAAAAATTACAAATTGTCATCAATGCGCTTTGCAGACACGACAATGAATTTCACTTTTTCATAAGGATGTAAAAGAAATGATGTGTTACAGATTTATTTATACATATGTATATATGTACATATATAAATATATATGCATATGCCACCACGACAGGTAAAAATTAAATTTAGTTATACACCTTCAATAAATAGTAACTTGAGTGTAAATTTGTTTTAATTATCACTTATTTTTCACTTTTTAATTTAATTATTAATTTTATAGGTAGGTACTATTTATTTTAAAAATGCAATGTTAATAAGCACCTTCAAGTATCTGAGAATTGAAAATCTCAAATTATCCCAGCCGAATATGAAAAAAAAAAAAATCGAATAAAAAAAAATTAAAGTTTGTTATAACTATACCTACACACAAGCATACTTAACAATCTATCTACATATACGGTATATTATAATATCTGCATTGAAGTTCTGCAAAAATTGCATTAAAACTAGTTTGCAAAGGAAAAAAATAATAAGAAAAATAAAAATACATATCGGGAATATTAAGTGGGTAGATGTACATCTGTACATATTTAAACGTATATATGTATATATATCGGCTTAGGTATATTATATTTGAGTTTTGTTACACAGCATACTTATACATGTGTACATACATGAATATATACATTTATGTATATAAAGAACCGGCAACAGATTTTTTTTAGGATATTTTTCTAGCTGCTGAGTTGTTAATAAAATTTAAAAAAAAAATACGTATAGAATTACAGATGGATGTGACGGCTGGGTTATAGATGGATATGAATCTATTCTAGCAAAAAATAAAAGTAATTTTATGTTAATTTTAGAAATATTCTACCAATATTTTCATTTCGATTTCTTTGCAAAAGCATTTATTGCAATTTTAAATTTGTTTTTTCGACTTAAATATGGCGAGCTTGTATATTTGTATTATGTTTGTCATGTAGTGTTTACGCTTGGAAACATGTGAAACATGTTTTTTTTTTTATTTCTACAAATAGTAAGTATATTTATTTAAGTATATTTAGTAACATTTTCACATGTGTATAATTTTAAGTCATTAAAGTTCATTGATATTTTATGTATTTCTTTATAAGTCGCTTACTTATTCAAGAAGAAAACAAACGCGAAAAAGAGATCAGTGAAATTTTTTTCTTTTTTTTGAAACGAAATTTCGCAAGTGCAAAAATGTGATATCTCTCCGCTAGATATGCTTTGGTATATGAGTTTGTGTATAAGTGTAGGTAAGTATATATATATATATATATGTTGGTAATAAATAATATAACGTGTAAAACTATAATGTAAAGTAAAGCAATTAAAATTTTTTATATTCTTATAGATCTTTACTAGAATTTATGCGGCTGTGGATGCTGTATTGTTAAAATGAATTCACAAATCTGGGTATAGATAGGTACATACATATATACATTGTATGCAAATATGTATGAAATCTTGTAGACATTATGTACCTATAGCCAATACATACTTTCTTAATATAATATACTCAATATTACTATAATAATTAATGGTAATATTGAATATTTAAATTTTATATTACCATTAATTAATTCTAAAATAATTAAAAAGCATTATTATTAATGTAAACTCGATTCCCTGTCTTAGAATATTTTCAAGAGACCAATGATTAAACAAGAGAATCAATCTACTTGAAACATCAGAAAAATGTACACACACATACAATGTAGCTAGTAGGTACCCATACATCTTGCTATGAATGAGACAAAATGATAATTTTAATATCGATTATCTACCTATTTTGGAATAAGTTTTCTATTAGAAAATTAAGTTTTTGAACGAACTAAAATAAATTACATATGCACAAAATTATAAAATAATTTAATTGTGGTTTTATTCGTAAAAACGCCTTTACGTTTTTTTTTCTTTCATAAAGATATATTCACATACACATACAAACCCTTACGTCAAAATACAGACGACGGCGCCATAACCTAGAATAATACGACATTAAAAATTATATTGTGGGATTATTTCTCACACTTTTTATATCTATAAATATATATTTGAATTCATATATATAAGTGTATATATATATATATATGTGCATAGATATATATTATATTTATATATATATGATTGTATATATTAATATATGTAAAATATGTGCAGCTTTTTAAAGGGTGGTGGACTTTGTAACTGCACTATTCTTAATATTATCCGTTTAAAATCACATCAATACCTTTTTTCTTCTTCCTTTTTGTTGTAAATTTTTTTTCCTTCTTCAATATTTAATTAAAAACTGTTTTTTTTTTTGATAAAATGTATTTATATAGTTTTTAAAACAAAATCGAATAAAAAACACCCAACAAGATTATCTTTTTCGCTTTTTTTTATATATATATAAAAAAATATCTTTAAGCGAAAAAATGCAATTTATGTACCACTCCACCGAAACTATTAAAATATTTTCGAACACTAGACTTTTTGAACTTTCAAGAACAATATCCTACGCGTCACTTAGTAATTTTTTTAATAAATAATAAAATTATTAAAATTACCAATTAATTTAAAGTTAATTGAAATTATAAAAAAATTTTAAAATTTTTCCAAATGATTAAACACTCTCCCTGAGAATTTTATATATAAAATACTTTTTTTTAAATAAGTCGACTTCGGCAAGCAAATTATGAATCGCAAACTAATTGACAAATTGTCAAAATCTTTATATATATACACACATGCAATATATGAAAGCATTTAAATCTCAATATAAAATAAGACGCTGGCAGAAATAGACGCGTGTCAAAATATTGAAATGCCAATTTTCAGAAGTGCTGTTCAATATTTATTATTTGAATATTAATTTTTGAGACGAATTAGAATATTGCGGACATGTCAGAAATTATTTTTCACAAATTTTATTCAAATTTTTTTAACGATCAAATATGTATTATTTTATATCTGCTGTAATATTTGAAAGCTTTAATTTTATTCTATCGAAAAGAGAGAATAGAATATACAATGACAACCATGTCACGTTTTCATGTTGTTCATGAGGCATCGTATTTTCATTATAGGAGTATAATTTTGTATTCTAAGTTAAAAAAAATTACATTATTTTATTGGTTATATTTATACGTTGCATACATGGAATAATTATTTTATGAGATTGTTTTTGTGTAAAATAGTAAATTAAAAGATTTACTAAATAAGTATTGATATAAAAAAAAAATATTTGAAATTTTGTGATTGTAAGTTTTTGTATTGTGGCAGGTCTTCCGTACGATTTATTGTGAATTACGTAATTTACGAATTTTGAAATGAAAAAAATAACGTACCCATTTACAAGCAACACTATAGAACTTATATACCCTGTGCGAACTTTGAAGTGAAAATTTTATTGAACATATGTTTTGTTATTTTTCTTAATTCTGAAGAACCAAAAATTCTTAATTACCAGTAATATTAAAATTTTGTGCAATAAAAATAAGTATATTTTAAAGTTTTCGTTACTCCTTTAGTGGGTTGACATTTCTAATATATATGTATGCAATGTTGACGTTTCTAATATATATACATACTTTTTTATATTTGTTTTCCACTTGCTTAGAAAATAGGTTAAACTTAAAAGAAAGAGCAAATACATAATATTATTTGCTTATAGATCGAAGGATTGTTTGCATTTTTTATTGAACTGTTTCAAATCATTTTTTTCAAAAACTGCAAGCATTTTCTATTTTTCATGTAACATGGCATCATCACAACAAAAACAAATTATGTAAACATGGAACACAATTTTTTAGCCACCTATATTTTAATAGAAGAAACACTCATAAGTTGTATAAAATGACGCATATATTTTGAATGACATTTTGAAAGCTACGCATAAATTAGCTGTGTTCACAGTTGCGTTTGAATTCAAAATTACATACATCAAAATAAGAACTGCTACGATGTAATTTCCATTTAATTAATTAAGTATTTTGTGTATGTAAAGAATACATATACCGGATGTGTACATTTAAATATTGTTAAAGCTTTTATAAAACATCTATATTACATCATTTTATGTAATGTAAAAATGTTTACACGTGCAAACAATTTTTAAGGATTTCTATCAAATTTTATTGAAGAAGAAAAGGACAAAATGAATTTCCTTATACGATAATTTGATACACGTGCCAAATCAATTTTTTATAATATTGCAAATAGTTATACAAATGGGTAATGGTATACTTATATATATATATATATATATATATGTATATATGTTTTTTACATACGTATAAAATTAAAGTTGTTATCAAGTGGTTTAATTATTTAAAAAACTGAAACAAATTTTTGCCCCACGTTTTTTAATTATTACATTAGATTTAAATAAGTATTATATTTTATTAATAATATTTTTTTTTTGTTTCAAAAAAATGTAAGTAGAAACAATTGATTAAAATGTTTTATAGAAACGTCTTAAATGAACAAGTACTTTATATATAGCGGTTAAATTTTAATGTAATAATAATTTTCGATAATAATATTTTAAATACTTCTGTTTATTAATATTTATATATATGTACATAAATTTATAAAATATATCTAGTAATGCTTTTTTTACAGGACCTAAATTCCGCAATGTAATTTTTTTGAGTGCGCACAACCCAAGTAGCTGAATAAAAATTTCCTATGAACAACTTGATGATAATTTAAATTTATAATAAATCCTTTGCCTAAACAGATTTAATGCTACTAATTTGAAATAATAAGATACAATATATGGATATGTATATATGTATATGTTTATATAATACAATTTAATAAAGACATAATATTCCTGTAACATATGACTATCATTGCTAATATTTATAAATTTGTTATTATAATAGTAACTATACAAAATTTTGATTTTGAAGTTAGACCGATTTTGATTTTGAAAAAAACACAATTTTGTATAACAGAATTTTTGAATTTTTATTTTATGTATTTATGTAGATACTAAAAGAATATAATCAAATTAAATGATCACAATTATTTTCTAAACAATTTTATTAAATAGGAAAAATTTCTAAAATTTCTAAAATTTTTTTAATATTTATTTAGCAAACTTTTAATAAAATATGAAATGAATTTGGTTATTCTATTCCGTCTGGTTGCTGTTTCACATATTAAGCCGAAAATCATATTAAGAATTAAAATTTTTTGTTTGTTTTGTAAACAAAAAATTCCAGGTCCTTTTATTTTTTTAAAGGATTTTCATTTTCAGTGCGCAAAATCTATGATTAATATTAATTTTTACACTTGTATATACGAGTAGGTATACATAGTTATACATATATAAAACTTTTAATTTTTCCGAACAGATTATAATTTTCAAGAAAGAAAATTAAAATCTTATAAAAAGTGTACATTAATGTACATACATATGTATATGTATGTAAAATATATATGTATGTTAATTTATTAAAAATTCTAACAAATATGAATATTTATATTGCAAGAATATTAGCATTGTAATGTAAAATAATGTTTTTATGTTGGATGTGATGAATTTCCTATATATATATAATATATATAGGTACATATAAATTTCCTAGGTATGATAAGTTTAATGTACTTTTTATAATGCGAGCCTTAATTTGAATATGTTCAAATATACATATATATTAATATATGTAATATACTATGTATACGTAAAGATGTTAACTTTTATACGAGCAAGTACAAGTATGATAATGAGGTTTTTATATATGTTGTATATATATGTTTAAGATTTTTAATATAAAAGAAATGTATATATTTTATATTATTAAAGCATTCCCATAATTTACCGTATAATTTTATATTCAATTTATATAATGTATATTGTATATATATATATTGAATATGTATATTAATGAATATTAATGTACTAATATATTATCACAAATGGAAATTATATTATGATGAATTGTAAATATTTTTATATGTAAGACTAAGCAGCTAAGCGAAAAATTTAAAATAAATTTTATATAAAAATTTGATTTGCTTATATTTAATATAAAAATTTAATATTTTGGATAAAAAGCAATTATATTAGGAAATGAAATTATATTATATATATGAAATTAACTGTTATATAAGAATATTTAAATATGTTTAAGATGGAAGGAATCAACCGTGTATATAAATTAAATTCACTCTAATATGCGACAAATCACACAATACAAAGCAGAATGACAAAATAAATTATTGACAGGAGCGTTTTATTTGATTGAAATGTTTTGAAAGACCATACCAATTTTTTTTTTTTTTTTGAGTCTCACACTCAATATTTGAATAGCGATTGCGCGCGATTATTCTGATGTCATTATATTTTGTGAAAATAAAAGACATATGATAAGGGTTAATTTTTGATTTTAGGCATTGTTTTGTTTAAATTTACTTTTATATACCGTTATACACTAAATTCAAATGGAAACAAATTAAAAATTACCATGTGCTTGTATAATTTATAAAGTATATAGTTTGATAATTCTGTCTTTAGGCGTGAGTATTACCAGATCTGTTTAAAAAAATAAGAAAATGATGAGTAAAAATATTATACTATTTATTCATTTAATTGAAATACAAGTTGTAAATTTGTTAATGGTAATATAGTAGTTAAGCTATTATTCAAATTTCCAATTTGTGAAGAGTAGAGATTTCTTTTTGAATGTAAATTATAGAAGATCACACAAAAATGATATATGTATTTTTACGGTAAGAATTATAACAGAGTGGGTAACTTTTTTTTGTCTCAGAATATGGTCGCCTTCAAACATGGTCGCCACGAAAATTTATTAACTGTCTTCTTTTAATATGCTATCTAGTTGAATGCGATATACATACGTAAAAATTATTATGTATATATGTAGATTTTAAATTGTAGATTGTTGAAGATCTGTGTTAAAAAGATGTATTTGTTACACGTATTAACAATATCATTTCAAATAAGACATGTATAATAATATATGTAAAGTGGAAAAATGTCGCCAATGAAACAATTACCTATGTAAACGTTAATAAATAAACTTTAAGAATAACAAATAATTGATAACATTAGAGCCAACAAATATATTCTTCAGTAAGAGAATTAATTATTTGATTAAACAAAGTGAGGCATTTATAATATAAGATTAAAAAAAATTTTTAACACTGTTGTTTATCTATGAATGTAGATTTAAATTTTTTTGAAATACATAAAGTCCCTTTGAAAATTATCACATAAATTTCTATATATACTGACTTTTATTATTATATTATATTTGCAGACTTACTTAATATAGTAAGAATTTAAGAATTGCTAATTCTATGCATATGTAGTATAAATAGAAATTGGAGCCGGAACTCACATACATATTCACATATTCATTATTTTCTTCTTTTTATATTTTTGTTTTTGTTTGTGGTTTTAAAATTATAACTTTTAATTTTACAAAAAATTTTAATAAGAGCAGATGAAATTTAATAGTTCCTAATAATTTTAAGTGCAAGTAAATTTATAAAAGCTTTAGTCATCGACGACTTTCATATAATAAATACTGACATGTTGCCCGAATTGAATTTGAATGAAAATTGAAATTTTATGATCAGTCGAAATGAAATGCTTTCATTAATAAATATGATGTAGAAACATTCAATTTTTAATATTAATAAAAAATTAACTATTTTGTATTTAAATGGCATAGTATGAACTTTTAAGATGTCAATAAAGATAAAATATTTAAAATTCTAATATTAAAAAATTTATTCTGATGTGATAGTGCAAAGCCAAGTGAATTAAAGTTGAATGAAACGAAATTTCTATTCGATAAACTCCATAAAATGAATGAATGTATATTTTTATTTAATATTTTTTATTTACAACGTATTTTATAAATGTTTCAGTATATAAGCTGTTATATAATATTAGACAAGGACTAAGCAGCCTTATCGCATTTAAGTTATGAAAATATATTTGAAAAAAATATTATAAAAAAAATTGGAAAAGGAAAAATTGCAGTTTTCTTGCTCTTTTGCCTTCGGGTTCTAAAGTATAAATTTGTATTAAACTTATTAAGTTATTAAAAAATATCGGAATTTTTTACTAACATGACAAAATTATATTATGCAATTGAAAAAATATTGCATACCTTCCGGGTGAGAAAACAAAAATGAGCAAAAAGTCTTCAACGTAATGGTCGAATTCAAGAGTTAAATAGGTGAGTTAAGATAAATAATACTTTTTACTGCTCGCTTTATTATTTCTGTTAAGAAAAATTGTTTATAAGTCAAAGTATTTTAACACAAATAGAAGTTATTATAATACTAGGACTCTCCACAAGCAATCCATTTGGCAAAATTTCATTTAATTCGGATAATTCTAAGGTGATCAAATTATACGAAAACGCCGCTCAAAAAATTGTTTGTGCCAAAATTGTTCTGTTAAGAAAAATTGTTTATAAGTCAAAGTATTTTAACACAAATAGAAGTTATTATAATACTAGGACTCTCCACAAGAAATCCATTTGGCAAAATTTCATTTAATTCGGAAAATTCTAAGGTGATCAAATTATACGAAAACGCCGCTCAAAAAATTGTTTGTGCCAAAATAACCTTTATTTACGTCATGATATCGATGACAATCAAAAAAAAATTTCGATCATTTTATAGATCTAGCATAAAGCCGTTTTTTTTACAAATTTTTAACTTAGAATTTTATTTTCGAATATTGATTTGTCTGAAATTTTTATATTTCTTTAATGGTGCACAATGTTAAAGTAAATAGAAAACTGGCGTAGTTTCCACTCTAAATTGTAAAATAATCTTGACTGTTTTTGTTTCTTTCATTCCTCATATTGATTCTCTAATATTATATATTCATAATATTTTGCACTGTACGATTTATTCAAAGTGAATTTAAGTTGTTTGTATTTTAATATATAATTATGAATGAGTAAAATTGTTGGACAAGTATTAAATTTCAGTAAATATTAAATTTTTCTAATTACTTTCAATAAATAGAAAAAATTTTTTAAAACTTAAAATGGGAAATAACTTATTTTTACATTATGGTAAATTATATATAATTTAGCTGCAATATTATGATTACTTGCTCAAATATTATCTGAAGAAGCACACATCATATGCATTGTAAAATTTGAAGTATGACGACAAAATTGAAAGGACAATCATATGATTTTTGAAAGCTAAAACTTACACAATGAATAATTAAAATAATTGATTTAAAATGACTTGTTGAATTTGCTTTGTTTATTTAGAAAGCTTAGATTTCACTAAATTAAAGTCCACAAAATATTAATGTCGAAGAAAATATCGAAAAAAGACAGTTAAATATCTGAACCATTGAGTAATGTTAGATTTATAAACGCTGGTTTCAATTACTTCACACTTTTGAAACACTGAGAAATTCAGAGTAAGAACTTTTTCCGATAAAAAATACAGAGAAGTATTTCAGACCATATATCATAGAGAATTTTTTTACTATTTTAACATTGTAATTGATTAATATAAACAAAACTTTTCACATGAAATGAAATAATAATAAATTAAGTTTGTATCAAAACCAACGGAGTGTTGACCAGCACTTTTCCCTGAAATTATTAAAAACTAATTTTCTATTTGAATTATTCTCGTTAACATACATAAATTATTTTGTGCAATACATAACTATTGAATATTTTTCGAAGATAAAACAAAAGCTAAAAGAAAAATGAACATAATGATCGAATTCGACAGGTCAATAAGTTAGTTAAAACGAGTTATAATATTTTTTATTGGCTGAACATTTATCGTTAGATTTTTGCTTTTATTTGAATTTGGAAAAGCTTCGCAATGTACATTGCTGTCAAGTATCTATATTTCGGGAACGTTTCCAATTTGACACTACGCTCCGATCAAGAACTTTACTCATTTTCGACCGTTTACCCAATGATAAATACCTCCCAAATTGTTTCTGAATCACTCTGTATAAAATTTTAAATCACTCTGTATAAAGATATCTACTTTTAGACGCACGAATGGGTAGATTGAAATAATAAGGACTTTTTTCTAATTTTTTTAAGGAACTGCCTAAAAATTATTTAAAAACAAAAAGAAAATTTTAATTTATTTTTGCAAATGAAAATATTTCTCTAAATGAAATTACAAGCAATTATGATGACATGACTAGAAACTACAGATTTGAGAAAAACTTCACTTCAAAGTTGGGCGACAGAAAGAGTTGGAAGGGGTAGTCGGTTTGCTACCCGAGAGGAAGCCACACCATCAGATGTTATACCGATGGGTTGAAGATGTCATCCGGCACGGAAAAAAAGGCTGAAGCTATGGAGTGCGGGTCTGGAGCTTCAGCATGCGAAGATGCTTTTAGCCAATTACTTCCGGAAGCGCAATAGGTCAATCATAAGGAGGCCGCGGAATTATGTGAGAATCCTCACAGGCTTCCTGGCGGGACACTGCAAGCTTAGGAAACATAAAGAGATTGGGCCTGGGGACCGATGGGTCTTACAGGTAATATGGGGGGTATGGCGTTGTGGGATCTCCCCGGAAAATTTCTCTGATTCAACAAAAGTGTGGATCTCGAGGGGGTGTTCTAGGCTTGACACAGGTCGCTCGTATGGGGAGGGGGCACAATAGATCTTTTACGTCACGACGCATTATCACCCCACTCTGCAAACTACAATCAACAAGTAATTATTATTTTTCCTTTGAAAATAGATAACAAAATATTTAATTAATTTGAGGCATTTTGAAAAAATATAAGAAATTGGCTGATTAAAATATTTAATATATAAAATTAAATTAAAAAAGTAAAATAATAAATTGAAGAGAATTGCGTTTATACCTTATCATTTAACCTTATCATCATACTTTTTCAAGAAATTCAAAATTTTTGTAATTTGAATGCGATTGAGGAATAATTAGTCCCTTCGAGCCGTAGTTTCAAGTTTAGTACAACAAAATATTCAACTTAATAATAATACTATGAATGAATAAAATTTTGACTAATCTCTCGAATTTGGGTATTTAAAAAATATCACATTCTTTATTATAATTTTTGTATTAAATATACTTTCGTTAATTACAATTTAAAATTTTATAAATTTAACTGTGTATATGTAATGTATGTACATATATTTTCTTAAAATATTTGTTTTGGAACATAATTTCAGTGGTAAAACTTATGTATAAACAAAATATTAAAAAAATTGTTGTAAAACAAAATTTTATGGTACACACCCTTATACAATAAAATTTATTTTACAACAATAATTGCGATAAATACAACAGTTAATATAGATACATTTATCATAATTTTTTTTCGGGATAATTGGCGTTTGGTATACATTAAAAATTATGTATGTCATGTAATACCTACTTGATACAAAAAAAAAAATTTGTTATAGTATCTACATCCAAATTTAACTGGTTTTTTTTTTATTGTTATATATACATATTTCTGGGATTTTCAGGACCCATATCAGGGATAAATTTTTATTTCCTTTTTGATAAACAATTTAAGAATTTATGTTGCAAAAACAAAAATTACGTTTTTAAACTAAATCACAATAATGTAGCTTTATATTAATTCAAATAAGTGGTCATACATTGTTGTCATACAAAGTTTTTTTAAGCTTTATAGTATGATAAATTTAGTTAAAAATAAATTATAATATTGTATATATAGAAATGAAAATACAAAACTTATTGTATAAAGAATGAGCAAATTTCATTCAAAATAAGTGAAGTGTAAATATGTGTGCTATAATCTAGTATATTTATATATGTATATTAACAACAATAAATTTCTATATAATGATTAAATCAATCAAATTGAATTAGAGAGAAAAAAAAAGGGAAACAATATGAAAAGAATTAAAATAAGTTGGGAAAGAGAAAGGACAGCAGCAAAAACAATAATAATAATGAAAATAACAAAAATTTATGAAAACAAAAAACAACACACAATTGAATATCCTTAATATCCTTTTCAAAGTTTTATATACCCTATCCATATATAATATACCTACATTCATACAATATTTTTAATTATATATTCACAATCGGAAATAAATCTCAAAAAACGAATAAAAAAACAAAAAATAACTGTATATTTTTATTATAACTATAAGGAAAATTTTATTTTTTCTCTTTTTTTTTATATTCTCATTTCAGCCAACTGGAAATTTCTTTTATTTATGAGATAAAAAACACTTAATATTATTGTATATATACATACTTATAACTACAACTATACACGAAACAAAATAGAAGAAAATGGTATTAAATGCAAAGCAGAAGAAGAAGAAGAGCAAAATATTAAAAAAAAAAAAAACAAACAAACAATAAAACAACAAAATGAGAATCAAAATAAAAACAACAACTTTGGTTAAAAAATGTATCCGTTAGGAAAAACAAGAGCTTTTCCTTTTTTTTCTTCTTATTTTTCATTTTATAAATTGTTGATTTTGTTATTGCCGTCGTTCTTGTTGTTGTTGTTGTTCTTGTAGCTGCTGTTTTGTATAGTTTTGTTTTTGCTTTTTTTTTGTTATTTCTCTTGTTTGTTTGATTTTTGTATCATTTTTTCGTTAGAGATTTTTGTTATAATATTTTTTTTTTTGTTTTGTTTTTGCAATATTTTCTTATACTATATCTACCTACTTATTTAAAAAAAATTATTTGTATATATGTGTGTAAATTCAAATTTATACTTATATAATATGTATACCTACATACATACATGAAATCATTTACTGTTACATTTATATTTATTTTTGCTAGCCTAGCTAAAATGAAAATTTTTATCCCTATCAGTAAAAGATAGTTTAACAGTATGTTTGGTACCGTGGTGAACGTATAACGGTAAAAAAAAAACAAAAAATCAGTTTATATTTTCAAACACGAAATAAATAGAAAGTGATAAGGAAAATAAAGAAAATTTCTTGTTCAAACTCAAGTAAATTTTTTTATAAAATTTTTTTTTTTTGCCAAAAAATTCTTCATTTTGATTTGTTAATTTTTTTTTTTAAAGGATATTAAATAGTTTCTCTTGCAAGTGTTGTGTACCATTAGTTTTGTTTAGAAAATTTTAAGAAAAATATTTCATTAAAATTAAAATTTCTGTTAATAAAAAATGATCAAAATTGTTAAAATTTTAAAATAAAATAAAAGCAATTTGGTTGTGTTGTCAATTAATCTATAATTTTATAATAAAAAAAGCCCTAAATTTGTTTCTATATTTAGGAAAATATTGAAAAGTATTTAAGGAAAAACAAGGGACAAGATAATTTTGTAATATTTTCAAAATTAAAATTAAGAAAAACCAGTTGAATTTTTCAAGGAAAATCATCAAATTTTTAATGTGGTAAGATATATGAAGAAGAAAATTTATTTTTTATTTGTATACATTCAAAATTATTTATGTGCAATCAAAAGAAATTTATTGTAGATTTTAATGTCAACAATATGTATATTTGTTATACATATTGCTTGTTTAGAATCAAAATGTTTTATCATTTAAAAATGAAAAATTAGTGTTATTGTTACACCGAAACGTTCTATATGAATATTAAAGCAAAATTAATTAGTTCAGCTGTGACAAAATTACAAATATGTCTACATAGCGTTTTTTTATTAAAGATCTAATGAATTCTTTTACAACTAGAACTTTAAATAATCCAAATTTTGAAATTAAAATTAATTATAGTTGATAACCACAGCAATTAAAATCAATAAAAATCAAAGATAATGCCAATTTTTTTAGTTTCTATATTTGGTTAGGGCCTTTAAAATTATGACACAAAAATGGTTTTTGTTCTACAACGTTTAGTGAATCAATTAAAAGCTTCAGCAGCTGTGAAAAATTCTGTTAAAAAAAATCAACTTTTCAAAAAAATTTCGGTTTAGGAAAACTAAAAAAATAAAATAACGGAAAAATTTGGTTTTTTTTTAAAGTTCTAATACTTGGTATTCCGAAAGTATATAAAATAAAAAATCAAGCAATATGTTGGGTTTCAAGCCCTGTACTTGGCCTTTCTTTAAAGGTTCTATTTTTTTCAGAATGATTTTATATTTTATATACTTTCGGAATATCATGCATCCGCACGAAGTACCAAGTAATTTAGTGTTTTTCCAAAGTTCACCATTTAAATCGAAAAAACAACAGGTTTATGGTAAATTTAGTTTAAAATTAATATAAAAGAAATATTTTAAACTTGGCATATTTGTTTTGTACAGAAAACTCAAATTTCAAAATAAAATTTCTTCATATTTTAAAAACTGTTTGAGTTAGTATATCTCTCATCGAGGATTTAGATTAATTGCTTAATAGTACCGTGTGCCTAATATAGGTTAATGATTTCCAGTGAGTGACAACGGGATAGTGTCAGAAAAACGGCACATTTTTGTTAATTCGGGTGCGGTGGGCTTACCCATTATGGTCACCGTCCCCATTATCCAACCAACCCAGTATATATCTCCTAAAGTTATGACAAACAAAATAAGGAATAATATGTTCGCTAATTTTCAAATAATTGAATGAAATCGTTTTATAATTAAATTAGACAAATCGCAATAATTATAAGGTTCAACCGCTAAATAGAATATTAACTATATTTAAGAAACAGGTTCATTGTTTAAAAAAAACTGTACTTACATATTATAAGTCCAAACTTAGCTATTGTTATTTCGGAATATCATTCGGTATCATAATATGGGACATAAAACTTTATTAATGCTTTCTTATTTTCACCCACTTTCCTCAAATAATCATTATCAAATCAGCTTGAGAACTCTTCTTTTTACGTCTCCTCTTGTATGTCTCTTAGATGTTATTTAAAAAATACTTCTGTCCTTATAATCTTGATTGCTATAATTTTCAAATCGTCAAACTAAATAAATTCTTATTCCATATAGAGTCGTTTGGGAAGAGAATCAGAACAAACACATCGAATTCAATAATTCCATGTATAATAATTGCCAATTTAAATTGGCTGTTTTTTCAATCCTTTGATCAATTATATGGCCCTGGGTGAATTTAACAAAATTATTTAATTTCAAATTATTTTCAAAATCAGTTTTCGGCCATATAATATTTTTTTTTTTAAGAGAATTTATTTTTTCGATTTAATTGTGACTAATAATAATTTAATGAAAATTTTTTTTACTTCATGAAAAATGTAAGATATATTCAGATTGCTGCGATTCGAAAAGAAATTAAATTTAATTATTTTTTAATATTTATTTACTCTAGTGCTTTCAAAATTATTTTGGTCGATCGCATTAAATTTTTTCTTTTCAAATCTTACCTGATTATATTAAAATTTTATTCATGTTCAAGATTTCTGGAGGGCTATGCATCCCCTACTAAAGTCTATAAAATTCTATAACCTATTAAAATCTATAGAATTTTATTAACACAAAATTTTTATATACTGCGCATAGAACAGGGCTGATAGCCTTACACGGCTGATTCCTGAAAACTTCCAGAACAAAATTTGTATATCTCTAATTTTAGAATTTTCCAATAATATACAAGTACACGGAATGTAATTATATTTGTCGGCCCGCTATGATTACAAAGAAAAAGGAAAATTTCGAAAAACTTGTGAGTTTCGAATTTACAGTGAAAAAATCGAGCCATTTTAAGCTCTGTTATATGTAAATCAAAAGCTTAATCTAACAGAGCTTAAAACGGGTTGATTTTTTCATTTTAACTTCTAAACCGACAGGCTTTCCGAAATTTTAATTGTTTTCTTATGTAGCCATCGCAGAATTTTTCTATAAACAACTTTTCCGTTGCTTCCTAGTGATCGAATAATACTGTGGTTGGGCATAAAAGATACATAGGCAGCCACACATACATTATTTTTTATATACATATATACATATGTATATATAAATAGATGACTGAACTTTGAATTAAATTTGTATTAACCATGTTTGAATATGGACACCGTATATTTGTTGTTATTAAATCAAATGTTTAAACTCTTTTCTTTTGTATAGATTTTCATTTACAATAATTTTTAATAAACCTTATACAGTGAATAAGTGACCCATATTTTTTGGTTTTGTTTAATAACATTCGTTTAATGGAATTGAATTCTTTGGCGTTCGATATATAAGCATTCAATATACTCGTACAAGGTGAAGGTCATTATTAAATACAAACAAATGTGACAAAATACAAACAGCCAAAATCCGTTTCTTCTTTTCCTTTTGGTTTTCTACCACCAAATCATTTTTAAATCAATATCCATTTCTAATCAATTTTCTATCTTCCTTATCATAACCTTAATTTTCCTTTATCTATTTTGTACGATAATAAAAATGGATATATTCTTATATAAGTAGGTTCATTAAATATGCACATTCATTAATAACAAAGTTTACAAAAAATGAACCATTCTGAAAATATAAGGTTAACAGAGAGTTTTGAAGAAAAAGAAAAAAATTATTATCGTTGTTGGGTAAATGGAAATGGTAAGTTAGTAAGTATATCGATTCAATTTCAATTTTATTTATCATTTTGGTTTTGAAGTAAAAAAAAAATAAATCAAGCACTGTTGTGAAGCATGTTTGTAAAGTAGCACTTTCCCATAAAACAAGTGAAATCGTTTAAACTACTTTCATTTATAAACCAAAGTATATTAAATTTCTGGCATACTTTTAGGATGAAAAAATAGAACAAAAATATAGAAGCGTTTACATTAGTCGGGTTACATGGTTAAGTTAATGAGTTAAGATAAGCAATCAGTTTCAGAAATATAAAGGGGCAATAATTCAAATTTTACGAGTTTCCGGGTGCGATAACTCAGAAGTGGGCATGGAGGGTGAAAAAAAATTCTTCTAATAAAATTAATTTTTTTTTTGAGTATAAAAATCTGCTAAAATTCCAAACTTGTACATCTTACCGTTTAGAAGAGTTAATATCAAAAATTAAGAAAAAACTGCTTCTAGATTTCAAAGGTTAATTTCAACTATACCAGTTAGTCATTCTAACTTTTAACTCCAGTTTGTCATTTTAATGTCAACTTTCACGATGGAATAAGCCAGTTCTTACTTCTCTGCATTTGCAGAATTCAAAAAATGTTTGAGATTTCGATACAATAAATAGTCGAAAAATTGCATTTTTAGAACTTTGCCGGAAATAACTTTTAGGGATGGAGGCACAAATATTCTTCTACAGTAATAAGTTTTCAGTAAAGATCTATTTTAGTTTTTTATCTAAATGGTTGGAGAATCATACACACGGAGAGTCGAACAGACGTACAGAGTAAAACTAATAAGCACCTTTTTCCCCAATTGTTTTCTATGGAAAGAGTGCTAAAAAGATGATAGCAAAAGAACAAGAGAAAACAAATATTTTAAGAATAC